TTTAAATTACTAACTAGTATACATTGTCGTTTTTGTAATTTTAATTGTAAGTAAATTTTTAAGCTAATAAAAGACGATGAAGAAGCAGCGTTTTCTAATTTAAAAAAAAAATGATTTCAGCTGTCCTTTGCGTTCCACGCGTCACAGAAAGTCTGGAAAGAATAATTCTGCAACAAAAATTTACAAAGCAACTTACAGCTCCGGGGACCATTCTATGATTTATGCAGGAGCTACTGAGACGAGGAGCAGCATGGATAAGTAAAACAATTACTCTTATGGGTGCTGAGAACTCTGAAGACCTGAGTGATTTAGAGGGCATAAAGATAAGGTGATAGCTGAAATGGATCAACTTTGCATGTTGGTGCCACAACGGTCCCGAAGTGTGCTGGTGTGCCAGTTATTTCAACCTCACTTAACCTTTTCCATCCACGGTTCAAAGTCCTAAAAACCGCTTTGACGAACCAATCCAAAAGTGCAAAAACGGTTCGAACCGCTGAACTGAATCGACCAAATTTTCCATCCGGTTTACGTCCCTGGTAAAAACATCGCAAAATTAATTTGAAAAAAAGTGTAATTAGAACAGTCAATTTACTAAGGTGGAAAAATTGATTACGACAACTCAGAAGGACAACCATTTTAGGGCCTTAACCAGACCCTGCCTTAACGTTAGCGATCAAACATGGTAGGCAATTCCAAAACAATTGCGCTCGACCTCATTACAATAATTTTTACAGAGGGTCAAAGTTTCGAATTTTTTATGCAAAATTAAATTTTATAACACGCCATTTTATGTTCAAAACGATTTTAAACATATCACTTGCCTTAGGAGACCTATAGTAAAATTCAGCAACTAGCAAAGACTATTCATAACACATTTTAGCCGACTAGCTACTACTAGAAGGGGTATTTTTGACCCATTTCGAAAAAATTGCACTTAGGGGTTAAAACTGTTAAACAAAAATGATAAGCAGAGAACTTAGCCCTCTGCAAGGAAGAAGTTTTGATGCAAGGCAACAAAATCGTTTTGGGATTTAACTGCGATGTCTATGTTAATACTAACGTTGTGACGTAACTCAGTTGACGTCCTGAAGTGACGTTTGCTTGTTTTTTAGGTAACCGCGGTTTCACAACTCCAGCGAGCCCTGCAAACCAAATTTTCAGTTCCTGCGACTGGCCCTCCGATATTGAAAAATAATTGGAAGCCATGCAATACATCGACAATTTAGCGATTGTTGACCTTAAATTGACCGTACAACATTTTTAGCTTTCTTGGCCGAAAATATGGTAAATAGATTTTAATTTTTTTACTTAACAATATATTTCAGGTCCTTTAACAATACAGCGTAGGTAACAAAACCAAATCATTCACAAAACTATGTACATATATTTATTTCTTTAACAGAGTCGAAATAACAGGAGCGCTATAGGCAATTGGAGCGACTGAGGCAACTCGGACAGCTGGAGCCACGGCAGCTACACGAGTAACTGGAACGCTGTACACAGCTGGAGCAGCATAGTGCGAGTAAGTGGCCACAGCTGGAGCGGCGTAAGCCGAGTAGGCGGCATAGGGAGCAGCAGCATAAGTGGCAACCGCAGGCACAGCCGAGTAGGTCAGAGGAGCAACGAGACCAGGGTTGGCCTGGGCCACAGCGAAGAGGAGAGCCAAGCAGATGAGGAACTGTTGTGAAGGAAAAGAGCCAAAACTTATTAACTGCTAAAATTAGTTCAATTAAATTTGTACTTACTTTCATTTTTTTTTTAGAGTAGGTTTGTGTTTTTGATTTGTTAACAATTGGTGTTGAACTGATGTCAGCTTTAGCTTGACTGCGTCATTTTATAGTAAATTTAGCTACATATATTTGATAACAAAAATAAAATCATAAGATGAAACTACTACAAATCTAAAATACGCTTATAGAGTCAAGTGCTGCTCAAATTTTATTATAAATTTGTACGCTTGTATGTAATTGTTTATTACTATTAGGTGAGTCAACTTATTAATATTTAGCTCTTAAATACATATGTATGTAGTTTTTCTTCTAATGAACCATAACAAATCCAATAATACTATACTGTTGACAACTGTCACATTCGTTCTGCTGCTAATACGAGTACATTGTTGCCAAATATATGTATGTATGTAAATGTCGTTAAAGTGCAAAACCAATGTACTTGCCTTCTCGTTATTAGTTAATAATGTTATGAAGCTCATTGCTGGTGGCACTGATTGCCGATTGATTAATTGCTGCCGGAAGTGCGACCGTGTAGAATCACGTTCATACATACATACATATGTACATATATTAGAGTGTCTCACCAAAAAATATTTCGGGTTTTCCACCGGAATAATAAAATTTATTGAAGTGAAATTTCTTTAGCGGCGGTTAGTTGGTTGGGAGTAAATTGGCAAATTCAACGGAAATTGCACAGGGAAATGGTGCAACGGAAATTGCACACGGAAGTTGGACACGGAAATGGTTGGGACGGAATCAATTGCTTCTTGAGTGTATGCACATGGTATTCATTTAACAAAAAGATCAAAACAAGAATGAAAGAAGAAGTGAGTACGTACATATATAAAGGAAAGGATAAAGGCAAAGACAAAAACAAAGATGTGTAAAGATAAAACCAAAAATGAAGATCAAGGTAAATTTAAACACTTCACTTATATAAAGGCAAAGGTGAAGGAAAATATGTAGAAGAAGAAAATGATAAACTTAAAATTAAAAACAAAGATAAATATAAAGAAAAATATGAACATGAGGATACCGATAAAAGTAAAGATGAAGATAGAGGAAGAAAGATTAAAATATAGGTAATTTTAGAGAAATGGATGTAGAAAGAGACACAGAGACTCACTCTTAGAACTATTTCGGTATTTTAGAGGTTTTCGGGATTCTTGGAACTTATTATTGGATATTTTTATCGATTTTATTATCGATATTTTTTTTGATTTTCTTATCGATTATGCTATCGATATTTTTGTCGAATTCGCTATCGATATTTTTATCGATTTTGTTATCGATATTTTTTATCGATTTTCTTGTCGATATTTTTATCCATTTTGTTATCGATTTTTTTATCGGCTTTGCTATCGATACCGGGTTTGTTATCGATATTTTGATGGATGTTACTATCGATTTTGTTATCGATAGAGTATAAAGATACAAATAAAGATAAAGGAAAACAGAATAACAAATGTAATTAGAACGAACAGGGTAGAGGTAGGGATCCAGATAGAAAAAATACAAAAAATATAATCTTAAGCAAAAGCAGATGTATGTATGTACGTGAATAAATATGTATGTATGTAAATAAATAAATTAATAAATATATATATTGGTAATGAGACAAACTAGATATGTAACGTAAGTTTCACTTCTTCAGTGTGGTCCAGGCACAATTACTTTTTTATATTTAGAGCCGGTTTTAAAATTTATCTGGCCTTAAACACAAATTTTGTTCTGGAAAAATGTGTTTGAAGGGTAGATAAATTACAAAAACCCACTTCAGAAACGGCACTTAAAGACTTCAGTCAAAATATTTTGGCAAAAAACTGCTATTTGCGTGACCTTCAAAAATCTCTTTATGTTTTCGATTCTGTTGACAAAACTTTTAAACATTTTTATGCAGGCTTTTAAGCCATCATCTAAGGTAATTTTTTGGAAAAAAAGTTTTTCAAAACTAATTATATTTATCAAAAATTCGGTGCTTGGAGGTATTTTCAAATTGGTCTTAATATGTTTTCTAAATATTTTGGCGAAGGTCTTCAAATCAAATAAATTTTATAAGTCCGCTGGAAAACCCGTACCGATTTTTTTTTTCGTAGATGCACCCTAATGTGTGTACATATGTACGTATGTACATGTATAAGGACAAGCAGCATAATTAACACAAATTGTTACTTCTTGCTTTTGGTGACTTAAGCGTAAAATGTTGCCAGCGACAATTTGGTTTCTTTTATCTGCATAAGCAAAATCATTTGATGTACTTATGTGAAACCATTTAACAATTTAACAGTTCTTCATGCGAAATGCGCAAAAACCCATAAGTACAGAAGCAGGAAATAAACGCAAATAAATTGGGCCATTACCGGTTTGCAAAGTTGTAATTGTTGTACTTGCTTCTGTAAGCTAATTTCCAATAGAATTTGCTGAAATCAAAAAAAAATGTGCTCAGAGTGTGGGCGAATTCTTTATCTAAGGCAGTGCAAAAAAGTTTTTGCTATAAATAGCATTTTCACCGAGTACATCGATATCAGTTTGCCAACATTCGTCATAAAGTATTAAACTACAAAAACCAAAAAAATCATAAATTAAAATGAAAGTAAGTAACAATAAACTTGGAAAGTTTTTACAGTTTACCAGAGTGAAATATTTTACTAACTCAAAGTGGTTAAATTTTATTTATCCTTTTCGTTTTAGTTCCTCATTTGCTTGGCTCTTTTCTTCGCTGTTGCCCAGGCTAATCCTGGTTTCGTAGCTCCTTTGACTTACTCCGCAGTGCCAACCGTTGCCACTTACGCTGCTGCTCCTTATGCCGCCTACTCTGCCTATGCCGCTCCAGCTGTGGCGACTTATTCTCACTACGCAGCTCCAGCTGTCTACAGCGCTCCAGCTGTCTACAGCGCTCCAGTTGCTCGTGTCGCTGCCGTGGCTCCAGCTGTCCGAATTGCCTCAGTCGCTCCAGTTGCGTACGCAGCGCCTGTTGTGTCGACTCTCTTGAAGAAATAAGCTGTTATAAGATTTTCCTGGAATTGCTGTAGTTGAAGAACCTGATTAAAAAAAAAAATTATGAAAAAAGAAATCATTTTATTAATTTTAGTTTAGTTGTTTCGAAATCATTCCTATCCACTGTGAATCATTCGTTTTTTTTAGTATGAACTTATTTCTTATCCGAATTCATTTTCTTCTACTTCTTATTCTTGATTGTCAAATTACGCCAATTGGAAACGCCAAATGAGGCCAAGTCTTTCCTCTTGGTATTTCCAACGTAGACAAGGCCTTCCACTTGCACCACCAGCGGGTACTAGATCGAACTCTCACAAAGCTGAACCATTTGCATACGTTCGTACAATATGGCGTAGCCAGCAAAGCCTCTGTTTCTTATTTTTCGGCTCAATTCGGTAATCGCGCAAAGGTCCAAAAACCTTCCGCAGAAAGATTCTCTGAAAGCCTCCAACCATACATCAGAACGGGCATGATATATTGTAGATTTACTAAGTCTAAAGCCACACCGATAAGGTCAGATCAGTTCGTGGACGGTGAATAATACGCTCGAGAAGTTTATTCCGAGGTAGTTGACGCATATGTCGGCGTAACCTTCCTTGTACATATATTGTGCCGACCACATTTGCATTCGAGTCGTCAAATATACTTATATATTCTGCATAGGAGTTGATGCATGCACTTTATTGACTTCTTGCCGCTGTATTTGAATAGCTCACCTGGCAGGCCGCTTCCTCCAACAGATTTGTTTTTCAGAACTGGAAAACACCGACTCCGTTGTCATGGAATGAATGCCTTCTTCACTTGTTTCACTCCTATTACAGTTCAGCAGGTTATAGGATTGCCAAGTTGAGTGCATTCTGGACATCAGTCACCAAGTTGCCGTGCTACTCTTAAAATAATTCTCTCCGGTATTAAAACCTTCATTCAACACATGAGTTACAAAACATTCAGATACAATTTTCGTGCACTACTTCTATCGAGCAAGATGTCATGCTCTTCGCACGTATGTATTTTAGCTTCCTTTTTCATCTTTCGAATTATACGTCCATTTTATTTTCTCAATTCCCTGAAGCTCTTCCATACGGTTTGCGCAGCGCTCGATCGATGCTTATTTATCATCCTCTTTTCGGCTGATTTTCTGGCCGAAATCTATCAACTTTCTCGCCGTCGGTACTGTGTGAGAGTACCTCTGAGAGTCTAGTAACGAAGTTAACGGCTGTTTCTTGTAATTACAGCTTTTGGAAGTCGAGCTTTGCTTGCGTTGCTCCGCTCGCATTTGTTGCCGCGCAAAGACGTTAACGAATCTCAACTGTTAACTGTATCGGTCTGTTATGCGAGTCAATGTATTGTTAGTAAGTCTAAAAACTGGAAGCCGTTCATCTATCACAATTTGATCGAAATGGTTTCTCATTTTCAATTCCGAAAAGAGGATTGACCTTCTTATGGTGGAACTTAGTGCATGTTTCCGGCCTCAGGAAAGTTGATAAGTCACAGTCCGTTATGCAACGTTTCGTCGTGGAGGCTAACATTTTACGAGGGTGGGACCACAGATCCCTTCTTACCCACCCTGTTATTGAAATAGCTTAGCACGATTTTCCATCGCGCTCGAAGAGTTGATAGAAGCGAGCTTTGGCCGCTTCCACCTTCTCTTTGAAAATAATGTCACAATTAACAATTTTACTAAAAAAACTATTTCTACCCAAAGTGAAAGCTTTCATATCACTGTAATCCCTACTTATTAGGAATCGAATTTTCAATACAAATGTTTAAGATTATAATCCCTCAAAAACGTCCCCTTTCAAGTGCGTTTTTGGGAAGTATGATTTTGATATCTTAAGCCGCAGATATTTAAATACAAGTATTTTTTGCAGTTATAATTTTATTTCATCAACATTTCAGTCAGTTGTCATTTGTCTCTCGGATCTACTTCGAAATGATACTATTAAGCCCATACACTGATTGCCAACTAAGCTGCTGTAAGTTTGGCTGCTGCGAATTCAGTTGCTGCCAACTCGGCTGCGGCCAGCCCAACTGCCGCAAGTTTGGCTGCTGCCAGCTCGGCTGCTGTAAGTTCGGCTGCTGCCAGCTCGGTTGCTGTCTGTTTTGTTGCTGCAGGTTCAGTTGCTGCCAACTCGGTTGCTGTCCGTTTGGCTGTTGCCTATTTGGCTGCAGTCCATTCGGCTGCTGTCCACTTGGCTGTTGCCTATTCGGTCGCTGTCCATTTGCCTGTTGCCTATTCGGCTGTTGCCTATTCGGCTGCTGGCTGAAAGTCTGAGGCAGCGGCAAATTTCTCGGTTGTCCGCTCAACGCCTGCGGCCTTACTATTGGTCTTCCCTGTCCATCCCGTGTCACCGTCACAGGTGCGGCCAATTCCACTTTATTCACCACCAGACCCAGCTGACCATTGGTGAGCAGGGGAACCTGTCTTACTTTAAGAGCAGGATAGAGAGTCTGCTGAGCGCTGGCGAGAGTGATATACGCCAGAAGAGCGCTTGAAGTCAGGAAGTTTTGAACGGGGAGCTTTAAAACAGAGTAATTTACATAAGTAACCGATATGTGTAAATGGAATTTAAATTTTAAATCAATGCGCTTCAAGTACCTTCATTTCAATGCTGAATTGTTCTGTCTGACCTTGTTGAGCGTTTGGTGTGCTTTATTTGGACAGAAGGCGTTACGAGTACTTTTATATTGCGCCTCCTTCAGGTTGGCGTCGTTTGTGGCAGTACGTGCTGTTATGTTTTATTTTTAGATTCCTTTATCATTTCGGGTCAAATTCAGTGAGCAACCTGTGATGAAGTGTCACTCCAGTTATGCTGTTGCAAACTGAAACACCTGTTGATGGGGTGTGTAAATTACTCATTCATCAGAATGCCGATGAAGCACAGACGGAAAAGGCAGATTGCAAGCACGTGGAAATAATTCGAGTGTGGCGATTATAAAAACCTGATTTAGGTTTGAGACAAAGCCAGTAGCGGGGGCGGTGAAAACTGACAAAGGGGGCTTGTATACTAAGTATTAAGGAAATTTTACAGCCATTGAAAAATATACATATTTACTAACAAAAGAAAGTGAAAAGTGACCCATATTTTATGCAGATATATGTTTATATGTACATCTGTACGGGGTGGTCCTTACAGTGGTTTCTTTTTATATGTTTTATGGAACTGGAATTTTTTCAGGTGGCTGTATCGGCTGGTTTCGCAGGAGCGCACCTTACTAGCTCATTTTTCCAACGGTTTCTAGCCATAAGGGCCTGTACCTTAATGTAGTGTTCGCATAATATCGGTCCTTTACCAAGAATGATAGAATACAAGATTGCGCCGATCAGAGAGGATTTGTGAGAATAATTTTTGTGTGACGTCACACTGGTGCAATTGCGAGAGAGAAATGCCAAAACGTGAACAAGAATGGAAGAAGAAGACAAAATGTTGCAAGGAAAACGTAAAGAAGTTGCACAAGTGTGACGTCATGCAAACCACGATTCTGTCAAATTCGTTAAGAGAGGAATAGCGGTCCGAGATCGGCGCAACCTTTGTATTCTCTCAATCGTGGTCCTTTACGGCACCTCACAAAAAAGTCTAAAGGCGTCAAATCGCAGCTCAGAGGTGGCCAATTGACGTCACCGAGACGGGTGATAAAACGATTTCCTAACTTGGCGCGCAAAATATCGATTTCTGCATGTTTTCCAAGCCCATTTATTCAATTTTCGGTCAAAAAAAATGACGCCAAGATGAATAGCGCAGTGCTCATAGCAGGCGGTTTTAAAGCATGAGCGGTAGAATAGACTCATCCCAAAGGAAGAAAGCTTCTCAACTCACTGGCAGCCCTAAATTTCATACTTTTGTATGGCCGGTTGATACACGATCGGAGATTTAGTGGGTTAAAGTATCATACTGACGAGGAGCGTGTAGGGATGCAAACGATGCATCGATATTTTTGAAACATCGGTTCAAAATTCGATGTTTGCCATCGATGTTTACAATTTCCTAAAATCGCTAAATTGACGATACATCGATGCCAGTTTCAGCGATGTTTTAACATCGACTTTAGTGTGATTCAGACTTGAATTCCACTTTTGACTGGCCATGAATTTTATTACTTATTGTTTTGGGGAAAATTCAGAAATTCCGTGTGTACTCTTATCATTCGATATTAAAAATGCTTACATAATCATTACAAAAGGACCGGGATCCCGGTGAAATGTCAACGAAATTGGGACTTGGAACTTTAGGCTCAGCGAACTTACGACGGCATGCATTTTTATTATATTTATAGGAAGGGCAAATGAATGGTAAATAAATGCAGGGAAATACATCCATATGTAAGTATTTTTATACCCGAGCGCACTTGTGCACAAGGGTATATTAATTTTGTTCACATAACGGTTGTTTGTAACAGGCAAAACGAATCGAGATAGATATAGACAAATGTATACATAAATGATCAGAATGAAAAGAGAAATCGATTAAGCGGTGACTGTCTGTCCGTCCGTCCGTCTGTGCACACGATAACTCGAGTAAAAAAACTTGGTACGTGAACTTCTTTTGGGCGTGGGACGGATGGTATTGAAAATGGGCGAAATCGGATAATAACCACGCCTACCTCCCATATAACGGTAATTTTCAGAAAAACGAAAACTGCGATATTTTAGTAACTACTGAAGATAATTCACTCAAAATTGATATTTGCAATGACTTTTAGACGAAAAATAAGTATTTTACAAAATTTTGGCAAATGGGCGTAGCCACGCCCACTTATGGTTACATGTGTATATCTTGGTAACCGCTACACCAATTTCTTCCAAACTTGGCACAGTTATTGGTCCTGGTACAGCATACCAACTGGCCGAAAATTTCTAAAATCGGACAATAACCACGCCCACATCCCATATAACGGTAATTTCGAGAAATACAAAATCTTCGATAAATCAGTAAATATTGAAGCTAATTTATTCAAAATTGATGATTGCAACAATTCTTTACCAAGAAATACGTTTATGACAAAATTTTGTAAAATGG